ACCTCTAAACCAAATTAAACACTTTTTAATGGCCTTAAATTTGGCAATTTTGATTAATCACTTTTTAATACTTTTTAAAACCCCGCGGACACCCTGTAGGTAAGAGTAAATAAGTAAGAGTTTAATCATCAATTATCATTTAACAGGAATAATGTTTACCATGGTCACCATCTTGGCATGAGCTATTTACTCATTTGCACTAAACACACAAACTACACCAAAGTACTGGACAAATTAAAATTGTGACCTGATTAAACCCCTAAAAGAAAAGTCATTTACTCATAGATGACATGAATATTTGTACCAAATATAAAAGCAATTCGTCCAACAGCTGTCAAGACATTTCACTCAACTACAAATGTCAGCCACTTGGAAATGGCACTCAGTTCAGGGGATCTCTCCAATAGTTAATTAAAAAAAAAAAAAACAGCAAAAACAAAAACAGGCGCTATTCATAAAACTCACTAACATGCCTGGTGTAGCATTATGATTTAGGATTATCATAGTAAAGGTAATACTATACAACCAGGAATGACTGCTTTGCAGCAGAACCACTACCTTTTCATCATTTCCTTCAGTAAATAAAAGGCCTTTCTCACTCCTGTTTACAAGCAACGGAAAGGACATTCATCAAACAGAACATCTGATCAATATGATGACAAATATTTATTAGAATCTCAGCTCCAACAGCATTGATTGTTACCGTAATACAGAAATATCCACTTTTAATTCAAAGGTTCTTTCAGCATGCAATGCCCTACACAGGTGTATAAGTTAATTGGAAGTGTGTGTGTGTGTGTGTGTGTGTGTGAGTGAGTGTGAGTGTATGTTTAATACATTACTTACAGAGACTGAAGAGAATGAAGGTTCTTCAGGGCTGCACTGGGCACAGTCTTCAGCTGATTATTCTGGAGCATCCTGAAGGTAAAATGGCAAAATGATGATTTCAAGTTGACTCTCAACAATTTCATCTTGCGTCATGAATCTATAACAACATGTACCCACAGATATATTCAGTATTAATTATGCTAGCAAGCTTTCTGAAGGTCTCCTCTGTCTGTTGTTGTTTATGTTGATCCACACTGGTTGCAGTTAATGTCTTTGGTGGGGTTTCTGGCTTCATGGTGTTTTCCAGGTTCTTCCTGTCTTAGTGTTTGCAAATGGAAACAACTCATGACTACTGGTAAAGTCTCACACAAGCTCTTGCCAAGTTGATTAAGAAACTCTACACCCCAATGGTGGTATGAAGGTAGGCTCTCCAATGAGCTCATTATTTAGACTTTATTGAACAAGTCTTTGATTCACTCAAACTGTGTATGCTTATCTAGTTACAGTATCTGTAAACAACTGATCCAAATCCAGTGAGAATGGGGTTTGTCTGAACTACATGTACTCAAAATACTTCAGTTTGTTTTCATTTGTGTAGTTACAAGTAACAATGTGAATACATTGCTGATAAAAGCATGTATAGTGCCTCTATGTGTTTGTTTTTCAGTCTTGTATCCAAGACCTCACCTGTATATCAACAGGACTTTGAACTTTTGGCTCAGTGTAGACTCAGCAGGGCAGTGCTTTATGTGCTGCTAAGTGTGGCCAGGTTTGTGCAAGCATACAAGGGTGTGCTGCCTGATGCAAATTATGCAGAACAAATACATTACATGGAGCTTGTATGCAATTCTCTGTTGGGTTTTCTCATAAACACAAGCAGAACTGGAGTGGGATGGAAACATGCATTTAGTCTCTTCCAAGTGGATGTAAACTGTATGACTGTGTTTAGGGTGGCAATAAGTGACAGCACCAGTGATAGCACAAACTGCAATATCTACCCTCTCCTCCCCAGTGTGTGAAAAACTTCACACTGTCACAGCCATAAGTGTGTGTGTTTGTGTGTGCATTTACGTGTTGACACTGGTGGTGGTGGCAGGGAGAGTGTATGCTTACAGAACTTTGAGCTGATGCAGTCCAGACAGTGCATCAGGGTGGATGAAAGACAGGTCATTCCCCGCAAGTCGTCTGGGTGACAGAAGGAGTCAGGCTTACATTTAAGACATTTCTCAAATGTTTAAAAACTACAGAGAACATGTTTTCCCACATAAAAAGAACACACTGTACAACCACAGAGTATATTTTATGTCTGAATAAAGCACTGCATAGTGCTGAGAACCTCTTCACATTCAATGCCTCAGCAGATCAAGTTCCAGCTCTCAAGCTGAACATGAGGCCCGGGGTGTCAGAGACGTGTGTCTGTGCCATGGCCTGTTGTCACTTCATCTCTCACCCACAAGAGATTAGAACTGTTCCTGGATATCCCCTCTTTAGACCCTTTTCTGAGCCTCCCAACCAGTGCTGCATTTAGAGAGAGTGAAAAAATAATTCACCGCTCTCAGGCTGATACAAGCAGTTGTGTGTGAACATAACATTTTTCCCGTTTAACAGTGCGGCCTTGTAATATTTATCCTCAGGCAGCTGCTTCAGTCCCTGCATTAATTACTTGAGGTTGAAGGGACACCTCCCTTTCCTGTTGGGAGCAGGAAATGTATAGGAAACGGGTGTAAATAAGCATGGGACAGGCTGACTGCGACACAGAGCCTAAGTATATTATCTGGCCTGAAAGATTAGCAACAGATTTATCACTCTGCAATGTGAATCAGGTCAGACTGAATTCCCTGCAACAAGAGCTGCTGGGTGTGAGCCTGAGAATCTAGGCTGACTGTGTCAAAAGATCACATACCCTTCATGTAGACCCTGGTCTTTTGCTTGTATGCCATAAATTTCACTGGATTTCATCCACCTACTTGTATGTGTATTTTCAAAAAAAAAAAAAAAAAAAAAAAAAAAACTTGCAAGTATCTAAAAATAAAAACACTTCGTAAGGTGGAAAAGCAAAGTCTGACAAAGTGCAATGAAAACAGACCAAGCAAATAAATCATGACAAACACAAAACATTTAACTTAATCAATCACAGCTTCAGCTCCACTGAGAAGACTAAAAATAATAACTAACAACTAATAACAACTAATAACAAATAACTTATGAAAAAAATCTGCTTTGTGTGATGAAATGAGTGGGCTCTAATTAACATATTGCTGAATTAATTGCTGAAAATACTTGATTTTATTTTATTTTTGTATTAATTTTGGCTATTCAAACTAGAACATAAATTTAAATATGGTGAATATGATTTATGTTATACAGACTACACTGACTCCATATTAAATAATCCTTTTGGCCAACCACAGGCCCTATTTACTGTGTGATTTGTTGTGGCTGACCAAAGCTGTCACATCATGATGTGACTGCTCCTCAGCAAGTCTGACTTAACTTGGCTTTGAGACAAACCCAGTAACTTCCAAAGCTTAATTCCAAAATTCATAATATCACCAACCCAACCAATGTGAACATATAGGGCTCTACTGAGCTGCAATTTGTCAAGAGGATTCTTTCAACAGCTTTGTAAAATTGGATTTTAATTCCAAGACCATAATTTATAGTTATAGTCATGGCTACAAGATTTAGAGAAACTAATTCATGCCTTCATCTCCAGCAGGCTGGAGATTGCGTGACTATGAAGGAGGGAATATTCCTCCCTCGTCTCTGCTCCTCTCCTGTATGAGAATGGCCTGCTCTCCTTCTCTGTCAACTCTCTGTCTTTGCCTTCAGGGCTCTGGTTCACTTACACTGTTGCAGCCCTAGAGCAAAAAAGTCATCCACCAAAGTTCAAGGAGGGAAGCCTACAGATCTGTTCCCAGAAATAAAGGTTAAACAAACACATATTAGAAATAAGGCCACAAGTCAATCAAAACACCATTTTCAAACATAGACACCCCAATGACAGTCCCGTTTATTATGGTGATCTAAGACAAAAAAAAAGTAGAAGCAAGACTGGGTGGGTTTTCTAGCCTTGTTGCCATGGAAACCACTGTTTTGTCACCTTCCATCCTGCCTTGCATTCCTCTACACACTGTGATGAAAAGTAAATTGCTTTTCAACAAAGCAGATTGGACTGGTGTATGAAAAAGAAGAAGGTGAAGACCTGGCCAGCTGAAAGATGTGCAAGAGCTGAAAAAACATGTCTGCAAAGGCCAAGTGGAACAGGAACTGCTTTTCACTAGCTGATCATTTTGCATTCTTAGCGCTGCATGTTACCCAATATCAGACAGACAGATTTTATCTCTGACTCCCAGCAGCGCCAAGCCAGACATTGGAATATTTAAAGAATAAAGAAATAACAAGCACCCACTAAGATAAGATGTATGCCACTGAACAAGCTGCAGAGCACAGATGTGCTATTGCCACCCAGATAATCCCTTAAAAGCAAAAATCCACTCAGAATGTCATATGACTATAGCTTCAATACATGTTGTCTCACCTCACCTTTTTAACTGAGCTTTACTGCACCTATTATAACTGCCTCTGTTCAATTCAGGAGTGATAAGTGAATCATTGCCATAATGCCATGCTCTTCAGCTGAGAAGAAGAGCATGTTGTGCACCTATACTGTGCTTTGCAGTACAAATACCCAGGTGCATCATAAACCCAACCCTCATGTCAGCACTGTACAGAGTAAATACATCACTGACAAAAGAAAAAGAGGGCATGTACTCACAGTTCTTCCAGGTAGGGGAAGTTCTTGAATACATAGGCTGGAAGCTTGGTGATGTTGTTCATGCTCAAGTCACTGTGGAAACATACAATCAGTTAAAAACAGTAAAATCTGAGATAATTTATACCTTTAAATCTGAATTTGTGAAACTTGCATTTGTGATCTTGATAGGCAAACGTTGTCACATGCAAAGTTGTAGTTTTCAAGCTCTTTCCAACAACTTAACTTTTACACATTTAGCAAGAATACTTATTCTCAAAGGCATTTACTGATGCTTCACTGTCCCAATATTGCACTTATTCATTAACCATTTTGCTTGTCTTTCATTTACATATTTATATAAAAACTTTTTTACTGCTTTGCATTTTGCAACTGTGAAGTCCTTTTTACCCCTGTATTTTCAAAGTGCTTTATCGATCATAAGATCTTTCCTGATTTTAACAGAAGACCCATTTCTCAAAATGTCTCAAAATTAAAACATCTATGTACAAGGTCTTTTTTAAATCGGCTAAACAAGAATTACAAACAATAGGGTAGTCGTGTAATGCATTCGTTATAGCAGTATTGTCTTTTGATTGTGCCTGCTTGAGGGTAACATAAAAAAAGGCATTGAAAACGTCCTTGTGTTTTAGCCCCAGGGATCTTCATTCTTCAAACCAACTTCAAGAAAAGGCAGGCATGTAACAGCATGAAAGATATGCACACAGGACTTGATTTGCTCCCTCACCAAGGATAATATGTGTTTATAGTTTCATAAAAATACTCATACATATATGCTTAGTGCTGTAAATGTGTTAACTTTTTAAATGGCCAAGAAAAGTATTGGACTGTCATCATAAAGGAAGGGACAAAAGGACTGACTTAGGTTCACTGAGAGAAATACAGTGAGAGTGAATACAGAGTATCGCTGGTTATCTTGAATCCACTAACCAGCTTCCAAGAAAAGCCCTATAGACATCATATGTAAAAAGGTGTCAAATACAGTATCAAGAATTTAAAAAAAAAAACATCTGTGATTCACAAATGAAGCAACCCCCTGCTCCTTGTCCTTCCTTTCCACTCTCCCACTGGTCATTTTGAATTTCACTGCCAGATCTCTGTAGGACCTTGTGTGCATGCCCCTGAATCCTAGAAGGATCATATTCCCATCCTCTGCAGTCCCAACCATAAACACACATACACAAGCCTTAAAAGGTGGGCCGTGACAGAACCCTCATCATCCCTGCTACCTACGCCCCATTTCCACTTACCTGCTTATCCAATTACCATATAGACTATTCAGTTACAACAACACTTCTATCAATGCCCACCCACTGCTTATGTTATTTTTTCCTACCCAGACAACATCTCTGTTCATGTTCTGCAACCACTGCTGCAGATCTACCACCACTGGTGGTCAGATGGATACATCACCAACCACATTTTAAATCATTTGACTAAATCTTTTGCAGACTGCTGACTGGTCTGAACCACATGCCGGGCTGGGGAGTGCAGGAGGCCTGCATGACTATCACACTTCCTCCCTCCCTCTGTGTCTGGCTGCTTTACTTATCCAGGTCCTGGCCTGTCCCAGCTAAGACGGATTGAAGAGGACTTGAAAAATGCAACTGTGATAAATGGTGACAAGCCTAAATGCTTCTACAAACAGGTATCTGTAAATGTCTATCCCATGTGCCACTTGGCTTTATTTTCACCAAAAGGAAGCCGTCTGCTACTGAAAGTAGCAGAAATGCTTTGAGAAAAGGAACATGTAGCTGTTAATGTGAAGTATGAACATATTCTAAAAGTTAAAACAACAGCCCTAATTAATTAAACAAAGAGGTAAAATCACAACCATGCTAGGTCACTAATGTTACCATAACAAACATGTTAGCCATAGATGCTAAGACATCCAGAAGGAAAACTAACACATCTGAATAAAATTTGACTCCTTTGGCTGCTTTTAAAGCTCTCCATCTCAAAAAGTTAAACTGATGTTAACCCTGGGTTTTTGTTCTTTCTTTGTCCCACTCTCTCTCTAGAAAATAACACGACCTCTTCGGTCTGGCAGCCACTGTTTCAAACCTGTTTGACCATGCATTATTTATTCCACAGGATTTTACACTGATCAGACGTATTCCACTTAACATGCTGGGAAACCAGTATCCCATTACTTGCCCACTACAGATTTGAAGAGGTCAGCATATCTGGCTTTCTCCCATCTAAATTACCATGTACATTTAACTCTTTCATTACCAAAAACCTAAATTCCATTTCTTCTTCGCTCTAAAAGTGAGATGTTTTTGCCACCGACATTGTTTGTGTTTACATCAACCAGACTATTATAACTTCTCAGCATTTGCCCATCATTGTTTAAATCTCTGACATACTCTTCATCTTCTATAGACCCATCCACAAGTCATCCTGTTTGGGAGTGGGAACCACCGACTGGCTCCTTTCACCTCTGCTGACCAAGAACAAAAGTAGCATTCAGTTAAAATGGATTGAGGGCACTAATGGTGAAGCCAGCAAGCTCCACCAGCTGAATGCATGACCCCTGACACCATAGTCAGATTTTCCTAAGTCTCAACCTTGTTATGCTATAAAAGGACCTTATACAAGCGATATGTAAGCTGTAATAATTTCCTCTTGTTCCATTAAAATGCTTAAGAGTTCAAACTGATTCTGTGCCAAAAACTAAACCTGTGCAGAAACTCAGTGGCAGGTAAACCGCATACTTTCAGAAGGAGTGTTTGCTTTGTTACTTACTGAGGGGCCTCCTCTTTTTTCTCATCCGCTTTTCTGTGACAGGGCTCCTTTCCACTGCAAATACCAAAACTCAAACCCCTGTGGGTTGTAGGTAAAACCATTCCAACACAGTCATATGATTTAGTGCAAAATGTGTGGTCTCCCATTACATTATGTCCTTTTCTGGAGTAAAAGTACAAATCAACAGCAAACAGACTAAAAAAATAAATGAGGAATGTTCCTGACCTTTGAGCATTGTTACACTTAAAAACACTACCTCAGGTCTGTTTCTGCTATTATACTGTATAGCAATTTTGTCATTTTGTCCAGTTCTAGATCTCCATTGCCCTTTTACACAACAGGAAATTGTCTGTGTCATACACATCCTCCCCTACTGGAAATACTCCATTTGATTTGTACAATCAGTGGCACCTGACTAGATTTTGCAGGAGGCAGAACATCACGTAAAAAAATACATGGTCAGGTTTGTAATATGGTCATAAACTACTGAGTCTCTTGCTGTTCCTTGAATTTGTCTGATGATTCCCACGTCAGCCCTTAAAGACAGAAGTTGCTCAATCTTGAAATCTTTACATTTCCCGGTACCACGTGGAGTGGCAGCGAGTTCCAGCAGCTCTGTCGTCTTTTGCGTTTTTTTTTTGTTTTTGTTTTTTTGTGCTTTTTGAAGTTTTCCGTGTTTGCTTTGTGTTATACTTCTTTCTGTAGGTTTGTGGAGCTGTGCTACTAGGAGTACAAATTTTTATTGCGTTTGCATTATGTTTTATACTTTTTCATGAGCTCCTGAGTCGGGGGACTCTGGGAGTAGCGGCTCCATTGTTTACTCTAGGATTCAGCTGCTAGCCCTGAGCCGGGCAGAAGCTGGAGATTCCTCTCGGAGATACGATGTAAAATGCGGGGCTGCAGAGCTGGGGTAAAGCGCCCTGGGAGAGGAAACAGAGGTATAAGCCATGTCTACCATCTGTCGTAATGGGAAATGTCCAGTCCCTCCCCAACAAGATGGACGAGCTAACGGCGCTAATGAGACTGCAAAGGGAGTTCAGAGAGAGAGCAGCCTTCTGTGCTTCACCGAGACCTGGCTGAACAACGACTTTTCTGACTTCTGTGGTCTCCCTTCATGGATTCACACTAGTTCGTGCAGATCAAAGCGTGGCACAGAGCAGTAAGAGGAAAGGGGGGGTTTGGCAGTGTACATAAATAACAGATGGTGCAATCCCGGGCACATAACTGTTAAGGAAAAATTCTGTAGCAGAGACATTGAGTTATTAGCAATCAGTGTACGGCCATACTACATTCCTCGGGAGTATTCACATGTAGTGGTGGTGACTGTTTGGATTCCTCCCGCGGCCAACGCTACTGTCGCGTGTGAGCGCACGCAAAGCATGTCTAGGCTGCAGACACAGCACCCACAAGCTCTAATCCTCATCTCGGGGGATTTTAACCATGCCTCCCTCCCCTTCTCTACCACCCTTCCAAACTTCATCCACTATGTTAATTGCCGCACAAGGGACAATAAAACTCTGGACCTACTGTATGCAAATGCCAGGAAGGCATACACCTCTGCCCCCAATAAAGTCGTACCTATCTCTCCATTTAAGCATTTTAACCTCAGATTCAGAAATAATAATGCGTCCTGGTTGTGGAACAGTGAAGTAACTCTTTACTCTTACAAGATTACTGGAGGAATCTTGGGAATTTGCCAATGTGTGCTTTGTGGACTTGGAGAAGGCCTATGACAGGGTCCTACATGGGATCTTGGGAGGGTACTTCAGGTGTATGGGGTTCTGGGGTTGTTGGTATGAGCCATCCATTCCTTGTATAACCAGAGTGAGAGTTGTGTATCCATACTTGGCAAGAAGTCAGACATGCTCCCAGTTAGTGTTGGCCTTCATCAGGGAGGTCCTTTGTCATCAACCCTGTTTGTGATTTTCATGGACAGGATCTCAAGGCGCCCTTGAGGGGAGGAGTGTGTCCAGTGTGAAGACTTCAAAACTGTATCTATGATATATGCTGATGATGTGATTATTCTGGCTTCATCAGACCCTGACCTCCAGCATGCACTGTTGCACTTTGCAGCTGAGTGTGAAGTGGCAGGGATGAGAGTTAGCACCTCCAAGTCTGAGGCCATGGTGCTCTGCTGGAAAAAAGTGGACTGCTCCCTCTGAGTTGGGAGTGAGTTGCTGCTCCAAATGAAGGAGTCTGAGTATCTCGGGGTCTTTTCCACGAGTGAGATTTGAGCATGAGATTGACGGGCAGATAGGGGCAGCATCAGCAGTAATGCAGACGTTGTACCAGGTCCGTGTGGGGAAGAAGAAGGTGAGCCAAAAGCCAAAGCTCTCAATTAACCAGTCAGTTACACTCCAATCCTCACCTATGGTCACAAGCTGTGGGTAGTGGCTGAAAAATAAGACTGTGAAAACAAGAGGCTGAAATGAGTTTCCTTTGCAGGGTGGTTGGACTTAGTCCTAGAGATAAGGTGTGGAGTTCAAACATCCAGCAGGGGCTAGGAGTAGAACCGCTGCTCCTTTACATCGAAAGGAGCCAGTTGTCATCTTATCAGGATACCACCAGGGCATCTCCCTTTGGAGGTTTTCCAGGCACATCCAACTAGCAGGAGATCCCAGGGCAGACCCAGAACATGCTGGAGAGATTATATATCTCATCTGGCCTGGGAACGCCTCAGAATCCCGCCAGAGGAACTGGAAGACACTGCTGAGGAAAAGGATATCCTGATTACCTTGCTGAACCTGTTGCCACCACAACCTGACCTCGGATAAGCAGAAGAAAATGGATGGATGGATGGCCTGGCGTCTTCATGTAAATTACCCTTCTTTTTCCACCCTTAGATGTTTGCATTCTTCCGGTTTCACACCAATCATGTGAAGTAACATCATGAGCATGCGCACTAACTCGGTGTGAGTTCTCAGGACAATACCTGCTCTATTCATACATGGGTTCACTCAGACATTACATGGCCTTTGTACTAGGGAGCTGGCTGTGTAAAGTCCATTTGATGTCCAGTCCAACAGATTCAAACATTTGCGCTCTCACATACAGCTCCTCCAGGTAACGTCTAGGTTCTTTAAGGTTGCTGTGGATTTCTCAAAAGGGCTTAAGCATGCATATTTGTGTCTTTACAGTTTAGATCTCACTGTTGGCACTGATTAAACTAGATATTCATGTTTCTCTAGGTCATCATATAGATTTTTAAAACATGATAACTGAATACAAATGTATGTTTCTAAGTTCAGATAAAATATTGTAATGACAAAATACTTATATACAAGATTTTTCCTTTACACATCAGCAGGCCATTGTGGGTGCATCAGCCCTAAGAGAAGGAGCCCTTGCAGCTGCAACATGTCTCACTAATCCATCATGATCCCAAACCCTAGTGCTTTACATACAAAAGAAGGAGGGAGCGGGAGAGGACAATCAAAGTTAAAGAAACCAAGCAAACAAATGAGAGTAGGACAGAGTAAGGGACAAACAACCTTTCACGTACTTTCATGAGTCTGAAAGATAACAAACCTTGAAAATAACACACTGTTTTCCATTTTGGCATAACAGAGGTCAGCAGAGTGGCAGTGAGGGGAATGATATCATTTTGAGAAAACATTGTTTCATGTTGAGAGGTTAGCTTGCCGGTAATAAATTGGAGTTCATTTTCCCAGAGGAAGAAGTAAGCTGAAAGTTTATGCTGTAAGCAGGAGGCCTAGTGTGACATGTCTTGACAGCCTAGTATATGAATCCACCCCCCTCTGTTTACTTTGCTTAACACTCTCTTAACAATGGTGATTTCAAGTGGAACAGTATCGGCTCTGGTGTAGCAAGACATGGGTGACCGTTATTAAAAGGTGGCAAAACAGTACAGAGGTTTCCACAAACAAGAAACTTAAGGAAATGCAACTAACACTATTATTTATTTGACCATATAACAAATTCTACACAGACAAGTGAGTGTTTAAGTAAACATAATTTCTTCTGTTTTTTGAGGGAGCACAGAAATTACAAAAAAGCTACAGTAAACTGTTCATTTCAGTGCTGTTGCCGAGGTGGTTATTTTAGTTTATGATTAACCCAGAGGCTGAGAAACAAATTAGGAGTTTCTCCAGTCATTAACTGTATATGCACCACTACATAATGGTCTAACCTACCTGGTGCCTCTTTCCTCTGCTTTCCATACAAATTAATGCCATAACTTGAAGCAGTTGTTAAACTATTCAGTCAGATTCATCGTGAGAATGTCATAATGGCACAACCTTGACTCCTAATTATTCTGTACTAAGCCTACAGCACTGGTAAAAAGGCAGTGCTGGCTACAGTCCATGTAACATTCCATATTCAAATCTGGTGCCATTTGTGACCTCAGCACACAGTACATTACGCTGTGGTTTGGTCACATTGCACTTCCTACTCAGACCTTAGGGGGAAAATTGGCAATGTTTCAGTTGATAAATCTTGTATTTTTGCGATCCCAGAAAAACCTTCTGTTTGTAAAAATAAAATTTCTCTTAGTAGCCGAACCAATGTTTAAATGCAATATTTCCACGGACTGCAGATGTAATGTAAGCTGCAGAAAAAACAAATGCAGAGAGGCTCAGACTGTGGAAACATAGGGTTTCAATGTTGGTTTTACCCCAAAAAATGTTTTGTCATTCCTGGCACTAAACAGATATCTTTAAGATTACATAAGTCAGAATTGCAAATCATATAGCCTACGATTCTAAATAGACTCAAAAGTACTAAAACTCAAATTTTGTCACAATGTTGACAGAACGAAAAGGGGGGAACTCAACCGCAAAGCCAGTGCTGCACACAGACAGCACGCACACACTAGAATTGTGCAATACATCTATGGTTGTAACATCAGTTCATCTTCAGACAATGACCTAATTTGCATGTGTATTAATTACTTGATAATGAGCTTTGAAAGACAAGTGTGGAGGACTGTGTGAATACTTTGTAGTCCATCACCAACAGACCTCTGCTAACGTAGCACTGAAAGTATTAACAAACAAGCAGCTCAGCGACACATTGCACTACTTCAGTTAAAGACAAAGAAAACACCTTGTTTCTACAGACCTGTGGCCATTTTGGATCACGCTGGCTTTTTCTGATAGTAACACTGCAGTACAGACCTTGTTCTCCACTGCTGCAAATATAATGTTAACAACATAACCAAGAGCTTTGTTCTTCACCCTTTGCAACACACATGCCAGCTACCAATAATAAGTAGTGGAAAAAGTACTCAGATTGTTTACTGAAGTGGATTAGGAGTACCACAGTGTGAAAATACTCAAAGTAAAAGTCCTGCATTCAAAATATTACTTAAATAAAAGCAAACAATTATTAGCATCGAAAGATGTCCTAAAGTACCGAAAGTAAAAGTACTCATTATGCAGATTGGCACATTTATAATATTGGATTAGAATTAGATACATTATTGTATTCATTATTGTGCAGGATAGCAGTATGTAAAGTACTTGGTTTTGATGCTAATCAGAACCAGTTTGCTTAACTATCTGTTAAGCGTCATGAGCAGCAGTTGTATGGCTCACATAAACAAGAAAATATAGTGCCCTTCTTTTTTTAATTGAATCAGATTGTTTCTGAATCAAATTGTGACACCAAGCATCAGAATCTAATCAAACTGTGAGTTTGCTAAAGATTCCCACCCCTACTGGACAGTGGGTAAAAATAACACTGAGGAAATGTATAAAGTCTTCAAGTCAAAAAAGGGCTAAACCAAATCAGGTGGATCATAAAGTGGAAAGAAACTTTTCATTGTGTCTAGAGCTGAAATGTTCCTGCAAACACCAGCCAATAATTTGCAATGATTCTGATAACCGATTAAAATGTTTGTCTTTAATCAAGAAAAACAGTTTACCATTTAGTGGTTCAGGACTCTCAAATAAGGGTTTTTGCTACTCCTCTAAGAAACTTTTGACTGGCATTTTTCACAATTTTAACAATTTATAGACAAAATGCAGGAGCTAGAAATTATTACTATTATCGATTACAGGCCTACTGACTATTTTCTTGATTAATACATCAGTCTAACACTATAAGTAAAAAAAACTATAAACTGATTGATTTAGATCTGCAACTGAAAATTAATTTATTAAATCACCAAATAACCACTTTAGTCATTTTTTAAGCAAAAATGCCAAACATTTTCAGGCTGTAGCTTCAAAAATGTGAGAACTGAATGCTTTCTGTCATACATCATAGCTATTGAGTATTGATCAAACAAGACATCTGTAAGACCACTTTGGGCTCTAGGAAATTATGATGACCAACTAATGAGTAATGAACAAATGAATCAGATGATTAATCGATTATAAAACTAATATTAATTGCAGCACTATCTTAAATCGATTGATTACTCCAAAAATAACTCATTCTCTATATCATTATTAGCTGCAGCCCTGCAACGTGAGCAGCTGTGAGCTGATTTGATATTGTGTCTGCTAACAATGTAACTTTAGCCGCACTGTAAAAGCTTAGCTTAAGTATGTACAGACCTTAAAAATTATGACATAATAAATGACACATTAAAAACTCTTACAAATCTGGAGAGCCTTGCTAACTTCTTCTGCCCAGCCATTTGTGGAAAGTTAAGTCGGTCCATCATTCACTTGCAATGCAAACACCACATCCCATACATACCCAGGATTTGGTTGAGGTATGTGTTTTGTGGTTGTTTTGAGGATGTTTTAACAGCGAATGTTTGTTAGTACTTACAGGCAGTAGGTGAAAGCACTGAGCCCGGTTGGGACGGTGGTCAGTCCTCTCCCGGAGCAGTACGCACCCCCATCTTCATCGCAGCTGCATGAGGTTGAACAAACGGCCGCCGACTGTCCTTGACCGGTGGCACCAAGACGAAGGAAACACCACAAACATATCCAAAACAACGCCACACGCATTTTCTTCTCGTCGGTTCAGGTGAAGGAGACAAATAAAAAGAAGAGTGAGGGGGCTTTTTTGTGGTTTAAGATATTCCAGACGTCGACTTCTCATGTGGTTGGTCGGTGATGAAGCCTAACCGACGTTTTTCAAAACACTTCATACGTTCACGAGCCCAACCTAAAATACGCACGTTAACGTTTAGCCAGTTTTAAAAACCAAACACTGTCTTCGAAAAGGAGCGATTTACCTTGCCGTGAAACATTTCTCGACCCCCTGTGTGTTGTATTAGTCCAAGAAAATAAAGTAGCAGTGCTGGCAACAGGAGCGGTAGCCTACCTTGCGTTTTTTACGTTTACGTTGTCCCATTAAATAACACAAAAAAGCGAAAGTGCTTGTTAAGGCATAGCTAAGAGGTCGATCCAGTGACAGGGCAGGCTCCAGTTAAACGTACTGGATAGCCACTTACTATCCTGATTTGTTTCCTTGCATAAGATCGCCGTCAGTTTTTAGCCATTCCTCACGTTCCCCTCCTCTGCTCCTGACATCAACAGCATGCGTGTAGCTCGACAGGCACCCTACCGGACAACCTGCAGCACTGGGCCCGGCCTGTGCAGCCAGTGTGTGCAACTCGGAAACCTGCACCACAACGTCAGTGTCTGCCAACCTGCACACTCTCCAACTAGCTAGGAGTTACAAAACAGTCGGGTACAACTCACCCGTACCGCTGGGTTGTGCTTGTCGTAAATCCCACGCTATTTCCGCACAATCTCCTTTTTTTTAAGGAAAGAACCATATAGTTTCTAGCAACTACAGGTAAAATAGAGAGTGATCAGCTGGTACTCTTCCAGTTATAGCACAATCTTGAGACTAGAGATTCCATTAAAATGCACTTTGTGATGTCAATGCACAACAACAAAACCAATTTAATAAAAAAAAATGTCATAACTTTGATTCAGTTGTTCCTGTAATTAAACTACATTAAGTTGGCAATTTATTAGGTACACCAAGCTAAAACTAAGGCAGTCTAATACAACAGTTCTGCTATATCCTCCCTTCATGAAGGTGATAATATTGCTGATACTCCTGGGAGAGGTGTTGTTTCGTCTATATGGTCATTTATAAGGCAGTAGTTTGTGGTACGACTGAATTGTACTGCTTTGTAGTAACTGGTGCTTCTATTATTTTATTCACACTTTATATTAATGAGGCTAGTTTAAATAAGAGATTCTCCTAATGCAGCACAGTCACCACTGATTGGTTACTGTGATGCACTCCGCTGCATTAAAATGTTACTTGACTGAAGATATGTCAATATAATCAGGAAAATGTACTTAAAGAATTCAAAGTAAAAAATACTCCATGACAAAACGTTCCCCTGTGACTGCCATACTATTATATCATTAGATAATTACTGGGTAGAGACGTTATCTCCCAACCAGAAGGCTGAATGTTTGAATCTCAGTGCCTCCAGTCCACATGTCGAAGTGTCCTTGGGCAAGGCACTGAATCCCCCCTTGCCCCCGATGGCCAGAGCCATCATTTGAGTTGGCGCCGCAGATGGCTGCCATCGGTTCTGTACTGGAACAAATTCCTTGTGTGTAACATACTTGGCCAATAAAGGTGATTATCCTTATCCTCAGTCTCAAATCAGTCTCAAGCTGAATAACGCTCACAACTTGTTTTGTGCACTACCAAAACTTTTGGCCCTGCAGAATTCTACACAAATCCAAGTGGAGAAATCTGAGAATGCAAATGAGCACAAGATCTCAAATCTTATTCTCTGCTTACAAATCTGTGCCTGTGTGCTCTCAAATGTTGATTTGCAAACTGAGTAGCACTCAAAATGTGGTTTGTGCTCCCTTATACATTTTGGCGGGAACCTACTTCCATAAAACCGCTCCTGTTAATACACCACTTACACATTAATTTTTACAGCACCTGACACTCAACACATCTCCACCCTTGACATTATGGAATTATCACTGATGCATGGAGGAAAGGGCAGTCAACCAGACAAAGCACAAGGTGCACAGGGCGTAGTGTTCATGTAGCCAGGGGCATACAATACACCTGCAGCACACACAGAAACCGGGACTGGATTATTAGCAACACATTAACAGTGGTGTGGTTTACTGTATGGCATCAGTCATGGCCAGTCAAACCAGCCCCACTCATTCACTTTGAAAGTACCATTTGCACATATGGGATACACCTCTCTAATGTGGCAGAAAGTTGCACTGAGTGGCTTCTATTTAGACTGAAAAGATGTCTTGTGCACAAGGTTTAGTTAGATTCACATACTGTACCTAAAAGTATTGCAAAAATAATTAAATGATTTATCACAGCATACCATTATTATTACACTCATTGTTACCCTCATACAGTAAATAACACTTCTTACAGCAAATTACACCCCAAGTTCTACTGTATCTGCACAAAACTCCTCAGGAATGGATGGTACAGCCCTACCCACCATGCTGCCCAACATGTAAGCAAAAAAGATTTAATGCATGGTTTTAAATTAAAGTTTAAATTCTCACCCTAAATCCCCTAAATCTAAGCAAGGCTGAAGGCATCCTGGACCTTTGTATTGAAGTTAATTTCATTAATCTCTTTTTTGTGTTAAAGTTGTAAAAAATCTTAATTCCAGGTAGTACTGCTTGGAGTACATTGTCCCAGGTCTGGTATTATTATTATATCATTATTAAGGCTAAAACATGTCCTTGTCTATTGGCATGAATAAAAACATGTATTGAGTGGCAGTGGTTCTTTAAATAATCTCATTCATATTTATTATCTTATTCAGTTTTAGTGAAAAGTATACAATATGTGTATGAGGAAGACAACAAAACAAAACAAATTGTTTTCAAAGTTTGTTTTGATCTTTAAAGACAGTATGGCAACAAACTAATCAGTGTCCACTCTTATTATATACTGTATATACACACTGTGATTTCATGTGATTGTGTTGTGGTATTTCAGCAAAAGGACACTGATATTATGCCAGAAGTGTACATTTTTACCATTATTAGTAGTAGTAGTAGGAGTAGGAGGAGATGTTGTTCTTGTTGTATTTATTTTTTTATGTTAGTTTATGTCTTAACATAGTTGTGGGTGTAGCGAATTCTTGTGAAGAGAAACACTACCCCACAGTGGTTAGATTTTTTCAGTGCTCCAAACAGTTTTCTTTTTGCACTCAGTGATCATGAATTATGCCCTGCAGGAACAGAAACAGAAATACTGGATATGTCACATTCAGTGAAGTGAAAACTGTATGTTAATGTATTTCACATGAATGATGCCCGGTATGTGACACCAAAGTTTCATTATTGTACAGTGTGTAACAAATGTCATCTCTGTTGTCAGAAGGACCTGTGCCCATCTTCAAGACAGAGAAGAATTATGTATGTGAATAGCACACATTCAGAATTAACTGCAACATTAAATAGAATAAACGTTATTGAAAAAAATTAGAATAAAGTAAACCCATTGGTAGAAACAACTAAGTACATCTACTCCATCCCTGCACTTTAGTTTAATTTTGAAGTACTTTTAATTGGACTATATGACCTTTATGCTACATTAAACTACAAGTACTATATTATATTTCATAGGTAAATATTGTGCATTATACTTTGTCTAGTCATTAGTTTTCAGAATAAGATTTTTACTTACAAAACTTCTGATCATCCTAAAAAATGTAATACGTTGTTATAGGTAAATCGACGCAGCATTTTACTGTATTAGCTGCAACATTTTGACATTGAAGTTGCTCTAATGGATATTTTTATATTAATAATAGTTCAGATATCCATGTGTAATGTGAAAGTCATCACTCATAGTGACAAATCCACAAACAATTATCATCCGACACTGCAGTTTCCCTCAGCTCCAGAGAGCTTCAGAGCATTGTTGGACAAATTAATCCTAATGCTGCTCTGCGTGTGCTGGATGTGTAAAGAGGCAACATTCAACAACTGTGCAAGGTGTTTGTAGCTTGTTGCTGTAAATCCATCGCTGATGTATACATTTGCAATAGCATATTGGTAACATTTGCTGTTGTGCCACCTTCGAACCCTGCTTTACACATTTACCTTGGAGGTAAGAATCTTATGGCCAGGCTGTCTCTCTGTTTTCCATTCATCTAACAGAAATGATACTGGCCACGGTTAAAAACATTTGAATAGACATTATATGACATACACCTCCAATTCCCTGCTGCTGCACTATGACAAACAGATTTCAACATCAGATTATTCTTTCACACAGGCCTATCCTCTTTGGAGGTTGAGTTGTACTTTCTTGTCCTGTTACTTCACAGGGTACATAGCTCTGCAGTGTACTGTGAAAAATGTGGTTGTCAGTTTTTGTCTCTCTTTGCTAGACTGTTCCTTTTAGCTCTGATGCTCAATAAGAAAGGCAAGCTTTGATGCTATACGGCTAGAACAGTTAATAGCAAATGAGGGATAGTGTGACCCTGACACCAGATGACGCTATCTGTCTGTCCTCGGCGCAATGTCAGTGGTCACAATGATCACCTTCTTCTAGAAGAGCCTTAGCTGTCTAATGTTCGTCATTCCCAGACTATAATAAAGCATCTTTTGTGCAATGACCATGGCTGACACAAATAAGGAGCATCTCAGGCAAAAAGATCACAGATACAGAGTGGGCATGAAGTGAACAAATGAAAATAAAAGTCTTCATTGACATTTAAAGGTAATAAACCATTTGTCATTTTGTTCAGACAGTATTATATAAATAATCTTGGGACACTGTCATGTTTTGAACCTGTGAACATATGTTGTAGCCTTTCAAATCTCAATGTGCTGTTGTTGCTTATGAGTGTCGTTTATAGCAATGATTTCCTCAAACCAAGACCTACTACATTTACTATAAACCTGTGGTGATGGAATTAAATTGAAACTGGATCAGGTTGTACTGACTCAGACAGATGAGCCACGTGGACATAGTGACCTAGAAATGTTAACTATTAAGGCCTACAGCTAACATTCTCATATTAAAGGTTACTCATGGATATAATTCTTCAGCAGCAATGGAGGACAAATTGTTCTAAAGAAGCATCAAGCATGCCTAAAGCTACCACTCTCGTTAAAAGTTACTCATGGATATAATCCTTACCAGCAAACAAGGGCAGGTTCCAGGATTTTAAATCAAATAAAGGTTGCTGTAATTTAATGAAGACTCTCTCACGTATTAGTGGTTATCTTTCAGTTGTCTTTCTTGTTGACAGACTCTGAGCGAAGGAAACTTTCTGCAAGTTAAAATGTTCTAAGCCTACATTACCATTTAAAATTTGTCAGAATGCATGTCCAGTAATTGCATTCTTGCATGATCAGTCAGTGTCCTGTCATTCATCTTTTTGTCTGTATAAATGCTCATTGTGACACTGTCCCCCCAAGCTATATTCTAGTATCTCGACATGTTAACATCAGTACAGTGCTGGTGTTGTTTCTCACCAGTTGGTGACATATGTCAGACTTCAAGTATCTTCTCACATGAACAAGCTGTGCCTTCATCAGACTGACTACTATAAATTTTCAGAAGTGGCAGCACAAATCATGATGGACTTTACTGTCCGTGTCTTGACCTTAGATTTTCCTAATGTGACAGGATGTGAATTTATTAAAAGGTTTAAGTAATTTCTTTAGTAAGGACAAACAGTGTTGTTCAGTAGATAATATAAAAATGTACTTAGAGTAATTAGAGTCTGTTATGGCAGTTGATAATAGGACAACAACTAA